ACAAGTTTCATCATCATCAGCAGCATCATCATCATCACCACCAACAGCATCAGCATCATCAGCATCATCAGCAGCATCAGCATCAGCATCATCACCAGCATCAGCATCAGCATCATCTTCATCATCGCCATCATCAGCATCTTCAGCATAATCATCATAATCAGCATCATCATAAGCATCATCAGCATTATCAGCATCATCATCATCGTCGTCGTCGTCGTCATCAGCATCATGAGCATCAGCATCAGCATCAGCATCAGCATCAGCATCACTATCATCATCATCGTCGTCAGCATCATAACATCATCAGCATCATAATCAGCAGCATTATCATCATCAGCATCATCATCCTCATCATCATCATTAGCAGCATCGTCGTCCTCATCGTCATCATCAGCATCATCATCATCCTCACCCTCATCCTCATCCTCATCCTACTCATCATCATCATCATCATCATCATCATCATCATCAGCATCAGCATCATCATCATCATCATCATCATCATCATCATCATCATCATTATCATCATCATCAACAGCAGCATTATCAGCATCAGCATCATCAGCATCACCAGCAGCATCATCAGCAGCATCACCAGCATCAGCATCAGCATCATCATCATCATCGTCAGGATCAGCATCTTCAGCATAATCATCATCAGCATCATCAGCATCAGCATCAGCAGCATCATCATCCTCATCCTCATCCTGATCCTCAGCATCATCATCATCAGCATTACCATCATCATCATCATCAGCATCATCAGCATCAGCATCATCAGCATCATAATCATCATCAGCATCAGCATCAGCATCAGCATCATCCGCCTCATCATCACCATCATCAGCATCATCCTCATCATCATCCTAAGCATCATCAGCAGCATCAGCATCGTCGTCATCACCATCATCATTAGCATCAGCATCATCAGCATCATCAGTTGCATCAGCAGCATCATCACCAGCATCAGCATCAGCATCATCATAATCGTCATGATCAGCATCTTCAGCATAATCATCATCAGCATCATCATCCTCAGCATCAGCATCATCAGCATCATCATAATCATCCTCATCCTCATCCTCATCCTGATCCTCAGCATCATCATCATCAGCAGTACCATCATCATCATGAGCATCAGCATCATCAGCATCATAATCAGCATCATCATCAGCATCAACATCAGCATCATCATCATCAGCCTCATCATCATCATCATCATCAGCATCATCCTCATCATCATCATCCTAAGCATCATCAGCAGCATCAGCATCGTCGTCATCACCATCATCACCATCATCATTTGCATCATCATCATCATTATCATCATCACCAGCATCATCATCATCTTAATCCTCGTCCGCCGCTCTTCTCCTCCTCCTCCTCCTCCTCCTCCTCCTTCTCTTCTTCCTCCTTCTCCTCTTCCTCCTTCTCCTCCTCCTCTTCTTCCTCCTCCTCCTCCTCCTCCGCCATCCTCCTCCCCGTCGTCCGCCATCCTCCCCCTCCTCCTCCTCCTCCTCCTTCCTCGGTCTCCTCCTTCTCCTCCTCCTCTTTCTCCTCCTCCTTTTCCTCCTTCCTGCTCCTTCTCCTCCTCCTCCTCCATCCCATACCTTCTCCCTATCGCACCCCGATGCCAGTCGGAAGAGCGGGCGGGGCGTTTCGCGTGAGATTTCCTGACCATTTATGATCCTGAAGCTTACAAACTGACAACAGCTTAACCAATTGAGGGCGGGCGGCTTTCAAAATGCGGCTCTCGCCTGATGGCCGCGCAAACTCGTCTTATAAAGATGCAAGATATTCACGAATTGAAGGCGGGTGGTTTTCAAAATGTGGCTCTCGCCTTAGCGCAGCGCATACGCGCCTTCAAGATTTGCAAGAGCGTGACGGATTGAGGGCTGGTGCTGTTCAAAATGTGGCTCTCGATTTAGCGCCGCGCATACGCCCGAAAAATGCGCACGAGCTTCACGGATTGAGCGCGCGTCGTTTTCAAAATTTGGTTCTGGCCTTAGCGCTTCGCACATGTTTAAAAAAAAATTGTAGGAGCTTCACGGGATCAAGGCGGCTCATTTTCAAAATGTGGCTTGCGCCTTAGCTCCCCGCCCATTCGCTCAAAAATTAAGGAGTTTCACGGAATCCCATGGTTAACGTAACAGAAACGACGGCGGGAAAGGATCCAGGACTGGCAGGGCGCAACACTTACGTTGATTCGCTGAAGTCCTAGGAAAAGCTGTTCTGGCACAATTCAAGGTCGTCAGAACGCAACAGTTAGGTTGACTCGTGGCGTTGGAGTCCCGAGAATGGTGTTTCGGCACGGTTTCAGGATCTTCAAACGGTGGTCTCCCAACGGGGCAGTTTCCTCAGTGGAAATAAATCCTTGTATGGCGCTTACGACGAGGGAGCCTGGAGGGAGGGTTTATTCCAACATCGTCTATGATTCCTGGGTTTACACTGGTTTTCCTCCTCCTCCTCCTCCTCCTCTTCCTCCTCCTCCTTCATCGTCTTCTGCTTGATCCCAAAACACACGCGGGTTCTACCCGTGGAGCCCAGGCGTCGCACGCGGCGTTGCGCCCGGACGCGGAGGTGGAAGCAGCAGTGGAAGTTCCGGAAAACACACCGCCCGACCCACAGGCCTTGCCCCGCGGCGCCGGACTGGTCGTCGGACCCCCGGGGGCCTCGCCCCCGGTGCTCCCGGGTTCTTCCGAGGGCTGGGGGGGGGCGGCAGATCTGCTGCAGCTGGTGCTCGGTCGACATGTTCAGGCTCATGGGGATGGGCCTCATCGTCGCGCGCAGCCGACACGTGACGCAGCCACGCAGCTCCTCGAGCCGGTGATGGTCAGCCTCGCCGTCCGTGCTCGGAGCCTGGACCACCGGGGCCTGGCCACGATCGAGGGCGTCGGCCCAGGCCTCGCCGCGCCTCCACGCGCCACCGCGGATCTCCCAGGCGCACCACGAGCGGAAGCCACGCAGTCGCCCAAATCCACCGTGCGGCCGCTCTCGCCGTGGAGCGGCGCTGCGTGTGGACACTGCGACGACATTGTGCTTGGAGCATCTTTGTGGCACGCATCGGGCCTCATTGTGCGGTCGCGCAGCACTTCTCGCGGACATTTGAAATACTGGTGTGTGTGTGTGTCGGGAGTTCTGGCAAGGGAAATGTGGTTGACACTATTTCCCTGTCAGTAATGGAAATGTTGGCACAGCTTGAGCACCCGAAAGCCGTCCGTGACGCATGACATCACATTAGTCATGCTTCGACACTTGCGATGGTATCCGGTGCTGTGCCAAGTTACCGTAATCATGGTACAATGTCGCTGCACCCACCCTGCTCATGCATCGGGCAGGTAGCTCAGGTCGACATAGGATACGCGCCATAGCCCAACGAACCCGTTCAGCTACACCCTTCCCGAAACACGCGCGCGGGGGCCCACATTCACCAACACTGGCGCGCACGATGCGCGCTCCTCGAGTTAAGTGTACAGATGCGGCGCGCTAGTTATGCTAAAGCATTTTAGTATGAGACAGGAGACAGCGGCAGCTGGGGAGGCTACACAAACTAGTGTATGAGTTTGACTAACAGCCCCAGTATGCGGTGCGACGGCAACGATGGAAGCGGCAGCTGTGCAGTCAACGCTCTCCTCTTTCATCCGTCCCTCCTGCCCACTCCTGCCCACTCATCCTCCACCCGACGTCGGACTACAGCCGATCCTCCTCCTCCTCTTTTTCCTCATCCTCCTCCTCCTCCTCCTGCTCCTCCTGCTCCTCCTCTTCCTCTTCCTCATCCTCCTCCTCCTTCTCCTTCTCCTCCTCCTCCTCCTCCTCCTCTCCTCCTCCTCCTCCTCCTCCTCGCCCCCCTTCTCTTCCTCTTCCTCTTCCTCTTCCTCCTCCTCCTTTTCCTCCTCCTCTAACTCCTCCTACTCCTCCCCCCACGACGTCATCGAGCCACCTCCGCTGACCTCCTTCCACTTCCTTCCCCTCCTCGCCTTCCCTCCCCCCATTCCCATTATCCCTGCTCCTCCTCATCTGGAGCCTCTGGAGCTGCTGAAAAGTCTGATTCGCATTACACAAGGCAGTCTTCGGAAGATATGTATGGTGCCGCATGGGGCTAGTGCATTGGGAACCGGCGTCCGACGATTACTGTAGAAGTCGGGCCCCTTGTCTGCCTTGAGATCCCTCAGAGCCCTCTTGCCCCACGCCTCGGCACCCTGTGGCGGGCAAGGAGCTGCCAGGCCTTTGGCGTGTTCTCGCAGAAGTCTCACATCAGTTTCAATAATGCGTACTACCCACAACCCACAGCTTATGCGACATATGGGCTGTAGCAACCATCGTGGGCGGACATGAACAGCGCTGCGCTGCGATTCTGGCCCTACCCGGGGAGTAAAACCCAGAATTCGTACAGCCGTACAGGTCCCCTTCAGTGTGAAGGAGGTGCCCATCCTCATCCTTTTCACAGGCCCCATCGTACAGACCCAGATGTGCCTGTCCTAGGAATAAATAGAAGTATAAGTGTAATGTAATATATGTTATATACAATATAACTGTAACTACATACATAACTAGGAACTTAAGAAAGATAAAAGTATGTACATAACTATAAGTATAGACATGAATATACATGCAAAAACATATCGAGAAAGAGCATGAAGATAACAGCACAAAAAATGGGTCGCCGCTGCAGATAAGACACCTACAAGGCTGGTACAGGGAACTACCGAGGAGCCTGGTGAGCGTGGCGCCTCCCGCCCTCTCGCCCTCCCGGCCTCCCATCACGCCCGCTCTCCCTCCCTCCCTCCCTCCCTCCAGCCCTCTCGTCCTCCCTCCCTCTCGCTCTCTCTCTCTCTCTCTTTCTCTCTTTCCCTCCCTCTCGTTCTCCTCCCCTCCCTCCCTCCCCGTCTCTCTCCCTGCCTCCCTCTCTCCTTCCCTACCCCCCTCGCGCTCCCACTATCCCTCCCTCCCTCCCTCCCTCCCTCCCTCCCTCCCCCCCTCCCCCCCTCCCCGCCGTCCTGCCGCTGCAGCTCCTGAGTCACGAGGGGAACCTGCGCACCGCTCGCACCCCGCAGGCATGACGCGTGCTGCTGCGCGCGAGGCTTGGATGCCCCAGCGATGGACGACAAGGAGCGAGGAAAGGGATAATATGGGGAGGGAGGATGGAGATGAAGGAGAGGACAAGGGGGGAGGAGGAGCAGGAAAAGGAGGAGAAAGGGGAGGAGGAGGAGGAGGAAGAAGAATAGGAGGCGGAGGGAGAGGAGGAGGGGGAGGGGGAGAGAGGGAGCGACGAGGGATGAGGGAGGAGCAAGGGCGAGCGGGGTGGATGAGCGGAGGGGCAGGGGGAACGAGGAAGGCTGGAGGGAGAAGGGAAGGAGGAAGCACGGGAGAGGAGGGAGGATTCGGGGAGCGGAGAGGAGCGAGGGAAAAATGAGGCAGACAGGAAGGAGAAAGGGAGGGAGGGGGAGAGGAGGATGGATGAGGAAGGAGGGCGGCGGCGACAACGGGAAGGCCGAATGACAACAGGCACAAAAGAGAAAGATATAGAGAGAGGGAGAAGAGCCGGACCAAGGGCGCAAAGCAGGAAGGACACGAGCGGCACAACGGAAAATGCGGATCGCCGTGCCATCCTCTCCTAATCCCATCCCACTACCGGTCGATATTGAACTGCGTATCCTGTGCACGCATATCCCCTGCATATGACTACATTATCAAAACTATGATCATAACGCACTTCCTATGTACGTGTTGCAGCTCGCTGCCGACTACTTGCTACCCACTGCCGACCTACCATTGTGCATTCCCACAGTGCTGATCGCTACCGCAGGGGGCGCCAATGGAAACCACGAGCAAGTATCACCCATAAAAGTAATCACAGGGAACACCGATAGAAGCCGTTCAAATCAGGCCATTGGCTTTCTGGGCGGACCGCAACTCAACTCACGCAGACGTAGCTAAATGATGAGCAGGCCAATGGGCTTTTGACAAACTTATGTTCATCCCTGTTCCGAGACCTGCTTGTCCTCATCATCTTCATGATGATCCTTCCCATCATACGCATAGGCATGGCCATAATCACAAGCATCATGATTCGAATCCTCATCCACATGCTCCTATATATGTAGCACCCCATAGTTGCGGGTAAAAACGAGGGGGCGGCCGGATCGTCCGCAGTCAGCGAGGCCCTGAAGAATCCCGCCGTATGCGCCGACTCTTTGCAAATCAAACAACGAGGCCGCCACAGGCGCCGATTTTCGTCAGAGCAATGTGGGTAAGTCGCAGGTGGGTCGCGGGTGGGTCGCGGGTGGGTGAGGTGGCGGGGTGGGTCGCCCGATGGGTCTCGGGGTGGGTCGGGAGGTGGGTCGCGTGAGAGGTGGATGACAATAACAACAATCCGCACTTCAGCTACGCACCCAGGGACAGTGAATGACCGTTCGGCCCCATCACTCTGATCAGCGCATGTATGTACAAGGAAAAAAAGGAAGAGAGAGGGAGGAATCCATTGTTATTATTCGCAACAACGCCCGTGACCAGCCCTAGCTACCCCTCTCCCCCACTCCTGGTAACGTCACGATTCGCGCCAGCGCCGTATGGGCACTTGCCATTCCGAAGCACTCCCATGACGGCGCCGGCGCCAATCGTGACGCGACCAGCCCCTTCCCCCCCGTCCCCTCACCCCGATCACGCCCGTCATCACCAGGGGATTTAAGAAATGTCCATGGGGGGGGAAAAAACAAAACAAAAAAAAATAACGGCATCGGCAACCTGCAGTATGGTGTCTGTTTCCTGTCGTAGAGATGTCACAGCTGTTTCCCTGCTATGCGCATACGCTTGTGCAGTTCATGTGAATGTCGCGCCATGTCCTTGCGCATGGACACCTAGTGGGTTCCCCTTATATGGGATTGCTATCGGTTCCGTTTGTATGCGTTCATGATTGGTTCATGCTGTATGAACCGGTGTTCGGTTAAGTTTGTAGGGAGCTCAGCTGTGTTCACCTTTTACCCAAAATGTAAAACAGAAGCACAATAACAACATATGCTAGAGGAAACACAAACATGGGCCCAAACACCGCCTGAGAGGTCACACACACACACAAAACAAAAATGCATGGTCACCGTCCTGGTAACCGTCCAACAAACAACGAAAACAAATTGCCAGAGGCTATACATGCGCGGTTGGGTGGACGTTATGTCCTGTGCTGCTGGGGACAGCCACAAGGATCGAGCCAATGAACTGTAGACGTTTAGGGTGTTTGCGGGGACCTCTTAAAAGGCTGTTTGGTTGACTTGGGATTGCTGTGCTACCTCTCAGGCGGCATGCCTCTCATAATTGCATGATGTTGGTGACTTAAACAAGCGTTGTGTGGCTGCTTGTTATGCTTCCTAATTGTGCAAAGAATTGCCTTGGTGTTGGTTTAACTGCTGGCCCTATCAGGCGGCTTTGAGGTGTTGCTACGTGTTCATGGGTGTCCCAAGCGGTTGTCGAAATTCCGTTCAATTGCCCAGGGTATATCAGGCGGTGTCTATGCTTCGTATTATGCTGCCCTAGGTGCCTCACATCTTATGTAGTATCTCGATCAAATGGTTGCGGAACTCTCAGGCGGTATTGGGTGTTCCCTGTGTTGTGTTGACTGTCCCATGCGGTGTGCGTGCTTTACTAATGGTTCCAGGGTGTTTCGAAGCGGTGTGTCGGACTTGAGCGTGCACCGGAAGGGAGCAAACATAACATCGAGGTAGAGGAAACAGCAAGAACATCCGCACAAGAGGAAGAAATACGAATGCACAAAAAATCACCACCGTGCCCCATGGCACGTTGAGGCGTGGAAGAATGCCAAGGGCTGGCTGCCAGGGCGGTTCTCGAAGCCTGGTAGGGAGCCCCCCCCCTCTCGACGCAGACCGCTGCATGCATCGCCCCTCCTTTCCAAAGGCCAGTTCGCTCGTGCCCGCTCGAGGATCGTGCACTTCCCGCATGGCAGCGAACGCCTCATCCCCCCTTCTACAGTCGGGGCGTTGACCTAAGGAACCCTAAATAAGGAACGAGGCCCCTATGTTCCATAAGTTAAACTTCGATTTCCCATGGAAAATCTCAGGAAAACCCGAGGCAAGCTGCGAAACATTCAAGGAACACCGAGCCCCTCCCCAACGAAAAGGGTTCCTTCTTCAGGGCCCCCGTTCGACGCGTGCCCGCTCGAGGACAGTGCACTTGCAGCACAGCAGCTCATGCCTGAACCCCCCTTCTACGCGCGCCTGCTCGGGGACGGTGACTTCCCGCATGGCAGCCAACGCCTACTCCCCCTATCTCACAGTTGTCCGCTCGACGGTGCACTTCCCGCATGGCAGCTCATGCCTAAAACCCCCTCCTACCCGTGCCCGCTCGAGGATGGTGCACTCCCCACATGGCAGCTAGCGAATGCACCCTCATTCGATGTGCGCCCACTCGAGCATTGCGCTTTTCCCGTATGACTGCTACATCATTGATCCCTCATCCCACGCGCACCCGCTCGAGGACGGTGCATGTCCCGCATTCCAGGGCGCTGCTCCCAATTGCTCCGAGGCCTCCCAAGCCACGATCCCTCATGAAAAACACTGGTTCTGCGTACCGAGCTTCCCAGACGGCCCGCGCAGGCAACCCAGGACACCAAGATGACCCTAAATGCCTCGAAGACGGCCCAAGATGGCCCCAAATGCGGCCGAATGTTGCTTACACACGGTCCGCCTTGTTGCTCCCCCTCCCGCACGCACATATCCTCCGTCCTGGGGGCCCTGATTCGAAGCCTCCTCCTCCTCCTCCTCCTCCTCCTCCTCCTCCTCCTTCCTCCTTCCTCCTTCCTCCTTCCTCCTTCCTCCTTCCTCCTTCCTCCTTCCTCCTTCCTCCTCCTCCTCCTCCTTCCTCCTTCCTCCTTCCTCCTCCTTCCTCCTTCCTCCTTCCTCCTTCCTCCTTCCTCCTTCCTCCTCCCTCCTTCTCCTCCTCCTCCTCCTCCTCCTCCTCCTCCTGTTGGAGCCCTGATTCGAATCATCGTTCGGCCCGCCCCCATCTCTGGCTTGTGCCTTCACGTCTGTGTCTAGCGGCGGTCAGGGCGTACAAGAGGTGCAGCAGATCAAATCGTCGTCTGAACCAGATGCTCCAGCCGATGCGTCGTCCATGGACAGGCCCAGCTGGCGTGCCTTCAGAGAGTCTGGCTGGAGCATGATAGAGCAGGAAGGAAGGGGGGACCGGGGAGTAAGGCAGGGAGGGGGGGAGAGGGGGAGTGAGGAGAGGATGAGGGAGAGGAAACGAGAAAGAGGGACAGGGCGAGGAAGGGGAAGAGGCAGGGGAGAGGACAGGGGGGAAAGAGAGAGAGGGGGGGAAAGAAAGAAAACAAAAAAACGAAAACGAAACAAGAGCGGAGAAAGAGAGAGAGAGAAAGAGAGAGAGGGAGAGAGACAGAGAGAAAGAGAGGAAACCAAAAATAAACCAAGAGAGACAGCTATGCGCAGATGCGTACACATAAATAACAAGAGAACCAGAGATACCTAACAACATACATACAACAGAAAGAGACACACACACAGTGCGCACACGCTACAAACATATATGCGTACGAACACACAAAACTCGACCTAGAATTAGATGCACGTATGGTAGATAAAAATGCACGTGTAACTTTATATATATATACACCTCCAAATATGTATATACTACATTTATTTATGTGTATACATACATGTTGAGAGAGATGCGTTCGCCCCCTGG